ATCTGATGACTTCCTTTTACTGGTCTACGATGGAAAGTGTCTTCACATATTGTGTTACGGTATGGTATGCTGTCTTGACAGCCACGAACTGAAAGGTATTACAGAGGTGATGAGCACAGCACAAAAAATCATGGGCTGCCCCCTGACCCCACTGAATGAAATCACCAGGACTCACTGCCTCAGCAGAGTGAGGAAAATCCTCAAGGATGACTCACACCCTGGGCAGCATTTCTTTATTTTCCTACCATCGGGCAGGAGACATAGAAGCATAGCCAGCCGAACAAATAGGCTGAAAAATAGCTTTTATCCATGGGCCGTCAGACACCTGGACGCAACATAACACCACAATCAGGTTTAATATGATAGACTTGCAGGGCCAGCCCAACGTGCAACATGTTTATGCCGGTGTAATATAATGTTATATACAGATATGTATATGGGAATGTGTGCTAGTTATTACTTATTTGGGTTTAGGGATTTCTTTTTTCTTTTATTTATTGAGTTATTGAGATGTATTCTGTGTTTTCAAGGGAGGCTCGTTCAATTTATTTATTGTCAATGCACAACGTTGTACACATGTTGTACACAAGCATTTATTGTCATGTTGTGCATTGACAATAAAGGTTCGATTTGATTTGATTCAACTCCCTAGATTCCTCAGCCAGTCATGGCTCTTAGGATGCTCCGGATTGCCAAACTCCCTCTTTCTCTCTCTTTCTCCCCCCTCCCCTCTCCCGTGTGTGTGTGTATGTTTGTGTGTAAGATGCTGACTTTTACAATGCATTCTCTGACCCTCTTTAGAGGCTCAGAATATTCAGAAACACTTAGCCTTGGATGTGGCCCCTCCAGAGAGGATACAATTAAATTCTCCTTCTGTGTAGCAGAAAATATGTTGGGAAATATGGGTGCCTGCTTTCAAACCATATAACATTCATCCTCACCTGGCTCCATCAAAGCAGGCAGAAAAGAGTCGTCGCCCACCCCATAACCCACACATTAATTTCTACTGAATTTTCACTCTCTGCAAGACAAAGAAATCCAAGAAAATGTAGGTCACAAAAAAGGAACAATTTATTTTTAAAAATTGCACAAATATCAAAGGGTGCAATAGGGCTAAGTAATTCTGGGCAGTGGGGGAAGACCAAGGGAGGAGTTGGGGTGGTGAGGATTCACCCCAGTGGAAAAACAAGTGTCAGTGCAGTAATAACGTTGCCAGCCATTTCCTCTGCACCACAGCTGAACCAGGCCTGAATGGCTTCTGTTCCACAATGGAGACGGCTGCATTTTATTAGCTGTCAATTGCTTATCCTGCCTCAAAGTGAGACTCTTAGCTTGTTGCATCAATGCTAGGAATAAAATGGGTGCAATATTAATTAAGCATTACACATTCCAGTAAATGGTAAAGAATGAGTATAATTTTTCTTTTTGAGTAGGTAATCACTGACAACATAGCTGGGCCAAGCAAATACCATTCGGTGTTCCAAAAGTAGCATCTTATTTGACATTTTCCATCATAGCAATGCATAATTCACAATAACAATGCAGATTATTCCTCCCCACAGTCCCCTGCCAACATTCTCCATCGTAGGAATGTGCCAAAAGTAATCTGCACTGAAATATAGTATAAAAAAAAAAATCCAGCAGAAGAACCCAGATGCTGTTTTCAAAAGAAACTCTCTTTAAGATTCTTAAGTTACGGTTCTTATCCCTAGGAGAGAAACCATACCGATTAGCTACAGATACAAATTGGAAGGCCTCAAAACTCTGTGTGTTACATGTTTAGAATCTGTGTTATTGTTAGTTAGAGCAAGAATGGGGAAACAATGGCCTTTCCCAAATCTTGTTGGACCATGCTGATTAAACAGTCAATGTTCAACAAGATCAGAGGGACGACAGGTAAGAAAGAAAAATTCAAAAGCTAAAATAAATGCACGGATGGAGTTCAGTAGCTTCAACTGAAAAGGAGGTATATCTTTTGACAAAGCACTATAATACCACTCTGTTAATTTAGTACAGGTGGAAGCCGCTGGCAATATCTCAATGAAAGTAATGCCTTTTTCTTTTCTAAGGTCAAATAAATACAGTGGCATAGTGGTGGGTTGCCAATTTTTTTACTACTGGTTCAGGTACGCTTGCACGCAATGCTTCTACACATGCACAGAAGAGTCCGGGCGGGTGGGCGGAGCCTCCCTCCACCGCTACTACCTGTTCGCCCAATCCAGGCCGAACCGGGATCAACCCACCTCTGCAGTGACAGCAGATCTCTATTTAAGCCTAGGGTGGCCCTCCTGATATGGCACAAGATTCTTTACACAGGAGGTAATAACTGTTTGGTTAAAGGAAGCAAAAGGCATCCCAGAGTTTCTCCAATAATTTTTGTCCAGTTGAGTTCAATGTAAATGCAGGTAGTCCCCGACTTACAACAGTTCATTTAGTGACTGTTCGAAGTTACATTGGCACTGAAAAAAGTGACTTATGGCTGTTTTACACACTTACGACTGTTGCAGCATCCTAGTGGTCATATGATCAACATTTAGCCTCTTTGCAACTGGTCCATATTTATGACGGTTGTAGTGTCCAGGGGTCCTGCTGTCACCTTTAGAGACCTTCTAAGAAGCAAAGTCAATAGGGAAGCCAGATTCACTTAACCACCGTGTCACTAATTTCCTCGCTGCAGTGATTCACTTAACAACTGTGGCAAGAAAGATCGTAAAATGGGACAAAACTCACTTAACAACTATCTCATTCGGCAACAGAAATTTTGGGCTGAATTGTGGTCATAAGTCGAGGACTATCTGTATTCGTGTTCATCTGAGGCACGGGCGATATGTTATTTCATCCCACCGGTTTTCCTTTTTTCAATTAAGAATATCCTCTTCCTAATCTGCTTTAAATGTGATCCAGATTTTCAGCAGGTGGCCTTGCTGCTACCGGAGTGCATCCAGTCTGGCTAACATGGACATGCTCCAAATTAAATTGGGATCCTTTCGTTCACGATACATACGCTCCATCGCTCGCTTCTCCAATCAACAGAATAACAAATGCTGTAATCTATCCTACTGGTTATGTGAGAGCGCTATCATCGTATTTTTGGCTTGGAGGCTATTAAAGCAAAAGGGCTCAAAAATAATGTACCGTCACTTTAAATGTTCCGGACTGGCATAAAACAATGCATTGCTATCTATTAATATGGTTCCTCAAAGCCAAAGATGGATTGCTGTGTTGCAGGATATGCCCAGCTTATAAATAATAAACTCCTAAAGTCACGGCAGGTAGCAATACCTAGTAAACCTGTCTCATTGAATAAGAACCAAATAAACCTAAATACGGCTGGACTAAATTAGTACCGTATTTTTCAGAGTATAAGACACACCTTTCCCCCCAAAAAAGAGGATGAAAATCTGGGTGTATATAAGGAATACGGCATTTTTGGCCTCGCAAAACTCTGCCCCCTTCACAAAAATGGACGTGCAGAGGGTTTGGGAGGCGTGCAAAGTGTTCCTGGGAGCTGGGAAGGGCAAACACAAGCGAAAAATGGGACGTTTTTTGCTTGTTTTTACCCCACCCCCACCCCTCAGGAGCACTCTACAAGCTTCCCAAAGCCTATGCATGCCCTGTTTTTTGCAAAGAAGGGACACTTTTTCAAAAAGAACAGGCCCTTTTTTGCTCATTTTTGCCCACACCCATCCCCAGGCCTTCTAAAGGCTATGCATGCCCTGCTTTTGGCAAAAAAACGGGCCCGTTTTCACAAAAAATGGGTCGTTTTTGCCCCCTCCCCCCAGTCCCCAGGAACACTTTCCAGGCCTCTCAAACTCTCTGCATGCCCTGTTTTTCAGAAAAAAATGAGGCATGCAGAGGGTTTGGGAGGCCTGCAGAGTGCAAAAAAAATTTTTTTTTTTAAATTTACCTCTTCAAAATCTTGGTGCGTCTTATACTCCGAAAAATATGGTAGCTGGCTAAGAGACGACCTGAAAATCAAAGAATGTACGGCTAGGATTTATTTTTTTAATCCTGGAAGAAAACGAAGACAAATCACTTCTGCATTATTACAAAGAAAACCGGAAGTCAAGCTTGATACAACTTGATACAACTTACATAGGATAGCACTAGAAATATAGGCCAAGTGGCAGAGGTGGATTGCTTCTGAACCAAGTTCAACTCTGTAATGATCAAATCCCCCCCCCCCACATGCTCAACACATCCATTTTGTTGGACTTCAGTGGTGGGGCTACACCCCAAAAGCACAGTAGCAACATTGAGGCACTATCAATAGAAGATAATATTTGTAGCTCAAGGTTGAACTGTGGCATCCTTGGTATTTTCTGAGCTTGGATGGTTTTTTTTGCAAATATTTCATTACCCAATTACCCAACTAGGTAACATCGTCAGTGCGCCAATCATGTTACCTAGTAGGGTAATTAGGCAATGAAACATTTGCAAGAAAACAACCAAATTCGGACAGCACCAAAAAACCCACATTCAGACAGTGTTTAATCCAAGTTTATTTAGTTACAGCACCAATAAAGGAGTGTTTCTACAAATTTCCCCCCCCCCCCCCGTCCCAGGATATAGCAGGCAGTTGGGAAGACTGCAGGGTAATCTGGTCTATGTGGAATACATCTGCATTTTTCCTTCAAATTCCTGAACAAGTATTTTCAGAAATGCTGCTGCTGCTTCTTACTCAGCAGTTGGCCAAGAGTAGCTAACTGCTATTTTTAATTAAGAACAAAATAAAACTAACAACTGAAGAGAAGGAGGGGAGCATCTTCCCCTACCCTTTCCCCTTCTTTGTTCCTTTCCCAAAAATCTATTGATCAAAAAGTAGAAAGCAACAAGATGTGAACTGCTCGTCTCAAAGAGTACAGTAATGCCGAAACATACAGAACCACAAACCTCATTCCTCCTACTTCTACTTATAACTTTTCTAGTGTTCTAGAACCCAGCTTCTGATATGCAAATGTGAATTACAGCAGCATTAAGAGTAATTACGAGGAGGCAGTTCCCACATCTCCCTCTTGATTCACAATTTGGCTCTGGGTCAGAGCACCCGCTCTACATATAAAAAACTAAGCCTATCTAGGCTTTAAAGGGCTATAGATGGGAGTAGACAATACTGGGCTAACTCAACTGGTAGCCCATCAACATAAGTAGTGTTAAGGAGCCACATCACCCCCAAAGGACAAAGATAAAAGCAAAATCTCAACAGGAATATTGTTGCACAAAACTGCAACATGAATACCGACTGTGAAGCATACCAAGACACTGGTAGCCAACTGACTAAAGCCACCTAAATAAGTGTTAGCACCAAGGACAATATATTCTGGCCTTGTCCTTTATAAAAAAAAAATCTGGCCAATCTCTAAATGATGGATTAACCTCAGGAAGGTAAATAAGAGTAGTGAAAGTAAAAGTGTATGTAGACCTAAGGCTAGACGATTCTTGTAATCAGTCCAGTAGAAGAATTAATGCTTCCGACGTTATCCAGAAGTCATGAGAACCAAAGCAAAAGCTCTTTGCTTTCTTCAATATGGAATGCTCAGGTTAGTCAGTGATGAGAGCCATCAAGCCCAGTTCTTCCAGTTTTGCTCGGATGATGGCATCCCAGCCTTTGTTAGCTTTGGGATTGCGAGGGGACGGGTGCATTACCCCCACTACCCGTACTGGGATACCAGCGGCTGACAGAGCCTTGTGGGCACGCTGTTCAGCAAAGCGTCCGACCCCAATGACTGTCGTGAAACCCAATAATTTCACAGCTTCACACAGGGCATCATCACAGATCTGAAGAAGCTGTTCACGCTGAGCAGCTGGCAGGTCAGCCGGTGTCAGATTGCGCCCGCTTTGACTGACAAAGAGCAGCGGGCAATGGTTGTGTACAAAGCAACGTTGGAAGAACTTTTCAGGCTCGGTGCACACCGAGCGGAAGAAGCCCCAGAAACGGGCTCCGCTCACCTCCGTATGGGGGCACTCCAAGCCACGGATGGGCCTCTTTGGGTGTTCGCAGGCTGGCCGAAACACCTGTCCGGTTATCCGCAGCCAGTCTCGAACCAGCTGCACTGCTCCAAAGGGCACCTGGAAGGAGAAATAGGTGATGTTATGAGAAAGGTTTCTTGGTGTGGGCATGAAGTGGAGGTCTGCATTTGCTTCGAGGCATCGGCAGTGGACACTTAACCCCAAAGTTGGAAAAAAATCATCCTCCTGAAAATGGAAAGGGGGGGAAACACATTACAAACACATTTTCCTCTCAAAATATTACACCCTCCAGTAGGGAGAGATTCCTCCATCAGGACACCATTCTATTCTCCTTTATTTAGCTCCTCAGAATGACTTCAGGGAATAGTTTGGGCAACTCGCATGCCCAGAAAGAATGTGGTGCCACAACTATGCTGAAATTAAACAAGTCTCAATGCAGGCCAGTAAAGATGAGAGATGGCCTGGAATTCCCTATGGGCTGCTTTGAACCCATTAAAATAGGAAAATGTGAATGAGAGAAAGAAAGAAAGAAAGAAAGAAAGAAAGAAAGAAAGAAAGAAAGAAAGAAAGAAAGAATAAAAAAGAAAGAAAAGAGGAGGGAGGGAGGGAGGGAGGAAGGAAGGAAGGAAGAAAGAAGGAAAGAAAGAAAGAAAGAAAGAAAGAAAGAAAGAAAGAAAGAAAGAAAGAAAGAAAGAAAGAAAGAAAGAAAGAAAGAAAGAAGGGGAAAGAGGACTAGGAGCCTGAAGCTCCAAGACAGAGGACTACTGAGGAATGCATTTTACCTATCCCACGCTTCAAAAACAGCTTAATAAATACAATAGCTCAGCTAACATGCTAAACAGGTGTGACGATCATTTCTCAACATTGCACACAATGTTCGATTTTTCATTTCTTTACCCTTTTGGGTGCTGTTTTCTATTTAAACATCTTGAAGACATTGTATGTGTGGGTATTCCAACAGCTGCTGTCCTAACACACTTGTAGTTCACCAGTTTGGGTAAGGCTTCAGAAGGCCAGTTCCTAAAGATGAAACTCAAGTACTTTGGCCACCTAAAGAGAAGGAAGGACTCACTGGAGATGAGTCTAATCCTGGGAAAGACTGAGGGCGAAAGAAGGGGACGACAGAGAATGAGGTGACTGGATGGAGTCACCGAAGCAGTAAGCGTGAGCTTAAATGGACTCCAGGGGATGGTAGAGGACAGGAAGGCCTGGAGGAACGTTGTCCATGGGATTACGATGGGTCGGACACAACTTTGCGACTAACAACAACTTTAGTCAGCACCTTCCTATCTAAATCAAAAGACCTCTGCATACTGTGAACATCAGCATATTGTCTTGCATTTACATTTCTCAGTTTGGGTCTGCAAGGACGGCCCAGGAGCAATAGAAAAGTGGACCATGTCTAGTGGACTCCCCTATCTCTTTCTTGAGCAGTTTGAAAAACAGCAGCTGTAGAGGTTTGTTGGAACTGATAAAATTGCTGAGCTCTGACGAGCGGCTCTGTTTGGCCGAGCAACTCAGATTCCACAGAGCTAATTAAGGCTCTAGAGTGGTGCTTGCTAAACCAAACCAAACCAGGAAGCCTTTTTGGGAAACTCTACGCATCCAACTTGAGGAGGGCATGTCCTATGTTGCAAAAGGACAAATATACCCATCAAGGATCTCAGTTCTATAGCAGAGTGGTGCTTTTTTTCACTTACGTTTTTTTTGCACTTTGATGCAACAAACTACACAACATTCATTTTTTTAAAAAAAAAGTTTATAATGAAATAATAAATAATAGAAAGACAGGAATCCTAGGCAAAGTTGGGAGAATGCCCTCTCCATGCCTCTCTGAAGCATTAGCAAATGGTTCTACCTCTTTGAGCCCCAACTATTATTATGTCTCAGGAGAAGCTCCTAGGTCTCAATTAGCATGGAGACAATAGGCTTAATGTGTTATTGATGTGGTTGTACATTAATGTTTCTGCTCCCTCCGACTTTGATCCAGGGATAATGGTTTCACTGAAGCTCTTCTCTCAGGGCCCCCATCATCCACAGGGAGCCTGGTGGGGACTGGAAGAGCAGCCATTTTTCAGTGGAGTGCCCCACCTTTCAAAGTCCTCTTCCAGGAAGCCCCATTTAATGTCTACCATTAACCTTTCAGCATTCTCCTAGGCCTTTACAATCTTGTTCCCTTTTGGCTTAAATTTCCTCTGTTGCTGTGAGGTTGGATTGGCTGTTTCGCAGCAAGAACTATTTCTGTTCTTATATTTTAGGTTTTGCAGACTGCATGGAGAACGTGCTGTTGTTGAAAGTGAGCCGTATACTTTTCTAAATGATCATTAAAACCGAAATAGGCGCCTATGGAGAGGAGACATTGCATGTTTCTATGCCTACAATGCACAGAGCCTCCAAAGGTTCCTGTAACACAAGACTCCTCGTCTCCATAACCTTTCTCACATATAATTAAAGATGACATGTACTAGGATGCTAGCCAAAGAATATCTATGCTCCAGCATTTATATTGGACTCATACCAATTTATCTGTCATGACTTCCCCTAAACAATGTGGGAATTCTAAGGAAGGCCTTAAGGTTTTATCATTGGCAGCTACAAGCAAGGCTGGGAATCTTCTGTGTCTGAGCCCCTGGAAACAGCAACCAATCAGCCTGCAGTGTTGGACCTGCAGTTCAACCCCAAAGGGTCCAAACCTTTGGGGGCCAGTGGAACTCATTTCAGATTTTACTGTATTTTTCAGAGTATAAGATGCTCCGAAGTATAAGACGCACCTAACTTTTGGGCAGGAAAACAAAGGGAGAATCTGCTTCTGCCTTCCAGCAATTTGCCTCCTTGCAACAAACAGCAAACAGTACAGACAATATACACTGTTTGTAGTGTTACATTTCAGACTATACTTGGACAGTTGCTGTTAAAATTGATGTGCTTTCTGGAAATATAGTTATTTTTTGCTATTTAAAAGAAGATACAATAGCACCAGTGATGTGCGGTGAGGTTTATGGCTGGTGAGGCAAATGGGCAAAAGCCACCCTATGTCGGACACAGCGGCAGGGCATTCGGACGCCCCACTGCTGTGTCCGACATAGAGGCATCCACAGGAGGAGAGGAGGGAGGCAGTCGCAAGTCCCCCGCCCTGATGGCAAAGTTGCAGAGGGGCCGTTGTGGGGGGAGAGGTCATCTCCTCCACCCTCCTTCCTTCCCCGCCTCTCTTACCGCACTTGCTGCGTCCGATCTGGGCCAGTTTGGGGGCGCGCTTGCCGGCGCCCCCTGGCCCAAAGTTGCTAGTGTCCTGCAGGCGGCAGGTGAAGCCCAGCGGCACCCCTTCGCCCGCTTCCCCACGGGGGCTCAGCTGCACCTTCAATGTTGCGGCTGCCCGGCCCGAGCAGAGTGCAGATGCCGCCGCCCGCATAAGGAGCGAGCCCAGCAGCCGTGCAGCAGCGCTCCTGGCTTAGTGGCGCCCGGCAGGAGCCTCACTCACCCTCCGCTCCTTTCAGACGCCCCGCCGCTGTGTCCACCATAGATGTGGGATGCCTCTATGGTGGACACAGCAGCAGGGCTTTTGGATGTCCAAAAGCCCTGGCGCTATGACCGCGATTACAGGCAGGATGCGTCCCGCCTCTATGGCGGACATAGCGCCGGAGCGACCAAAAGCCTCTTTCTTGACAGCAGGCAACCGCTTCCAAGAAAGAGGCTTTTGGCAGCTCCGACGCTATGTCCGCCATAGAGGTGGGGCGCGGCCCGCCTCTAATGACGGACACAGCGCCGGGGCTTTTGGACATCCAAAAGCCCCAGTGCTGTGTCCATCATAGAAGCTTTTGGATGCCCCGGCGCTGTGTCCGTCATTGAGGAAAAATTCCTTAGACCAACGGAAGAGTTTAAAAGCAGAGAGGACCTATGGAAAGCTTCAAAGAATCAATGTTGATTGGAACCAAAGCCGCCCCGCCGCCCCAGCGCTAGAGGCAAAAGCCACCCTGCCGCTATGTTCAAAAGCCCTGCCGCTATGTT